CCTTTCTCTCAGTCAGGCCTTTCTCTCAGGCCTTTCTCTCAGAGTGGTCATGTTATGTGATCCGTTCAGATCTTGTTGGTCATACATCCTGTCCCATGCTACGTGTTGCTTGCCGTTCATCTCTGTTCCTCTTGGTTGCTTGTTCCTGCCTGGTCCTGGTGTTCTGTACGGTTGGACTTTATAAACAAACTGTTTGCCCCCAATATCAGTCTCTTCAGTGCTGCGTTTGGTTTCTACTTTCTTTAAGACTCCACAAGACAAAGCGGTAGTAGTGTTATGTAGTAGTTATGGCCAGAAATGTCACCCAGGTTCAGATGCTGTGTGGACCCTGAATTGATCAAGCAATTGATCAATGAGCCACATTGTATCCTGACCATGTGGTTGTAGTTTGGTGAGTTTAGTGCTGACAGGCAGGCAGTCAAATCTGAGACCACCAAGTGATGATACAATTATCCAGGCCAGGATATGCAGTGGAGGGAATCATGGCTCAGGGGATTTCTCTCCCACTGCTGTAATGTAATCACCCAACTGAAGTCATCACAGTGAGCCACAACTACAGTACCATCACCCTCACAGTCTGGGAATGCAATAACACCAATATTCAATGATATTCCTTTAAAACGTGACCTGTTCTGAAAAATGACTTAAGACTATAACTATACTCCTAACATACCTGGCTCAGAGACTTTTTTATACTATTTGAAGACACTTGAATCAAATAATAATATTAACGTAAAGGACAACGATGGAGTATGTTGTTTGATTACTTATTTTTAATATTAATTTTCTTTTGGGTGAATCTATTTTTCAGTTTATTAAACCTTTTAAGATAACTTCACTAATTTCTATGTTGTTTCTTGACTAATCGATTTCCGACATAAATACAGCGTTGTGTAGTTAATCTTTCTATAACGTGTGTATATTTTCTGGCGTAGGCAATGACGTTTTTCCAGTTTGACTTGAGTTTGGTTAGTTATTAATATGAATTTACCGGCAGACCTTTTATTTTTATTACCTAATCGGTATGTTTTCAGTTATCTTTCTTCTGTTATTTCTAATTTGGCTATATATTTGCTTTTGTCCAACTTCTTATCTTATATCTATGAAGATGCTCAGTCCTCCTGGTTATGGTCAAAGTTGAAGACTTCCGTTAGGCAACTGGACATGAAATTTTCTCAAGAAGACTCTTGGAACGAGAAGCGAAACGTCTTCTTGAGAAAATTTCATGTCCAGTTTCCTAACGGAACGCCCCAGCCCTATCTCAACCCATGTGGGGAAACACTGCTGGTGTCGTACATCGGGGGATTAGCTCAAATGGTAGAGCGCTCGCTTAGCATGCGAGAGGTAGCGGGATCGATGCCCGCATCCTCCAACTCACTTTTTAACTCTATTGTTAAATTCTAATTTTTACCAACTTCTAACTACAAGTCTTAATTACTGTGTAATTTGCCAACATGTAAAGGACTTGGCTATTTTTATTTGTGTTTTTCTTAAACTAGCGTAAAGTGTAAAATACATACTTTCTAAACGAAATGTGGAGCTCATATGTAATAGACTCAAATTATCGTTGGTGAAATGTAATGTTAGTTTAACTGCACTGAGACTGTGGTGGCTGCAGAACAGCCCTGGACTTCAGGAGCCCCGTGTGCTCCAACAGGCGGTGACGAGGAGCCGTGTAACATGAGTCCAGATGAAAACTGTGCTGAAACTGGCTGCCAGTGCAGATGCTGGTCAAAGGAGAGAGAGAGAGGAGGTGCATGATGCTCGCTGTCCCACTGCTGCTCCTCTTCATCGTTACGTCTCTGCCATGTGGCTCCGCAGTTTACGAGGGGCCCCTCCAGGCGGAGATCTCCAATGGCACTTTCCATCACTTCTTTGTTCCCGACGGATACTACGACGAGACCGAAGATCCGGAGAAGTGTCAGATGCTGTTTAAGTTCTCGGACGTGTATCCGTGCGGAGCCTCAGAGGAGCGAGACTCAGTGGTGCGGGACGACTTCATCATCACCAAGTTGCAGGCGGAGGACGCGGCGCGGCTGCTGGAAGGCATCGGCCGTGCCGTGGAGCATGACCTGGACGGAGAGGACAGCTACGGCAAGTTCCTCCAGCGGGAGATCTCCCAGATCGGAGAGGCTTTCACCAGTGTGGATAAGTCTCTGCTGGAGCTAGAAGTGAAATTCAAAGAAAGTCAAGAGACGGAGCTGAGAGAGGAGCAGCAGCTCAACGGCTATGTGTTGAAACAAGTGAGTGACATCAGGGACGCGCTGCGAGATACGACAGACATCTCCCAGGGCCTGAAGGATAAACACGAGCTGCTGTCTCTTATTATCCGCAGTCATGGCACCAGACTGAGCCGCCTCAAGACCGAGTATCTCAACTTTGGCTCCTAAGGGTTTTAGTGCATTATTTGTGCGTAATTGTGCGTATGGGTGTGTGTTTTGTGTGTAAAAGAGAAAGAAAGACCCTCCAGTTCAATCAACAACTGGGTAGATTATTGTGGCCTTTATACTTAATAACCCTGAGTGCCTTTTTGAATACCAATGACCTTTGGGTTGATCCCACTCTCCTAGCACAGTGTGCCAGAAAAAGTAGCTCTAACAAAAACATCGGCACATTCCTCGGAATCAGGAAGGGAAAAGAAAACTGTGAACATAAATTACTTCTGCAAGGAACCAGGACCTGGAACCCCCTGGGCCCCAGAGGAAGGCTTCTATTCAGCAGACAGTATGGAAATAAAAGGCTCAGGGTCCTGGAGCCAACTCTCTGTCAGTATTTAGAATTATAACGTCTTTACTCTTAAGCTAATATGATCAAATAAATATGTTTTACTTGATGTTGTAAATTTGTTTTTCCTCATCAAATTTTCTCAGAAATATTTAATGCTTGGAGACTTTGGGCTGAGTTAGAGTGGAATGCCTAAGGAGATGATGGGTAAATAAATAACACAACAAAACGTTATCAATGTCAACAGATGAATTACAAAAAAGCCATAAACAGTTTTTCATTTTATTAAAAATATTTACATTCCCCCCTTTTTTTCATAAAGGTTTGTTACCCCTGTGTAAAAGCAATACAAACCAAATGTTTAAGCCTCTTTAACAAGTCAAAAAACAGGACAAAAAGACAAAAACTGTAAAAAAAAAATTGAGTTTTAGTGGAAAAATTACCCTTGAGGTTCCACAACTGTGTTGGTACTATTCAACAGTTCAACTATAGCTGTAGCATGTGGAGATAGAGTCGGTCTTTTCTCAAGAATTCTATCATTTCTTTCCAGCCCAAATTGCACACAAACTAAATTCTTTGGCTTTGTAGACAAATACTTTGTTTCCTTGGCCGCCTGGCCTGCAGTCCAGATATTAACCCGTCAAACATGTCTGGCATCATATTAAAAATGTAATTTTTCCTACAGAGATGAAGATCAGAATTTATTAACAGTACAACATGACTCTTTGTTTTGTTGTGTCTTTATTTTAACATATTTATTGTACAGTAAAGTTATTTATTAAATTTTTAATCTAAAGCCCGCCACCGTTGTCTTTGCAGGGTCTTCATATTTACTATCTATTCAGATTAGTGTGGATTATGTTGTCAGAAAGCTTTGGCTGAGGTCATTTTACTCTAAGACTTCAGAGTGACACACAGCTTGTTAACAAGTCTATAAAAATCTTTGTGCTGACATAAGAAACATCTTGCCCTAAATAGACTGTTTATTGAAGGAAAGTAGTTTTGAATTCCTCTGAGAAATTAACTGTGACCTTCAGGGTCACGCACACACTGACACAAAACACCCAACACACGGTTTTCATTTGTGTTTTATGCCTGTGGTAGTCATCTTTATTTTTTTCTTCTTTAACTACTGTTTTAAGAACATTTTTTTCTTTCTAGTCACTGTCTGCATTAACCACAGAACACTGTGCATGCCAACTTTTTACAGAGATAATGTCTGTGCAGATGCAGAGCCAGATTGGCAGTCATGGGCACAACTGGGTGTGATTTCCTCTGTCTGGTTTTCCTCACAGTCCAGTTTCCCCTAAGGGACCCCCTTTTAAAAACACAGCTCCGTGCAGAGACTAGCACAACGTCGACCTCCACAGTATGGACAAACCCCATATGTTTTTATGCTTCTTCATTTCCAGAGGCACTGCATGGGGCCCAGGTGATTTGAAGAGAGCACTTGGTATTAAGTAAAGGCAGATCAGAGCCAGAGCTTTTTGATCACTGAGAACCACCAGTGTAAACAACTCCACCTTTTCTGCAGGTGAAATATTTTTTTTATTTTTAGTAGGATCTTTGTGTTAGTCTTGTTATTGAAAGATTATAATCTCTGACATATTTTAAGAACAAACAAAGAAAGGTCAGGCATGCAGGCCAGATTTGACCTGAGAACACAGTGATCCATATCATTGTGAAGCACAACGCCCTAGACCCGAATGCCTGAGCAATTAGAGCTGTTCAGCTACAAATACTCTTTTTTTTTAGCCAATCACTGCACTGATTCATTTTGTGATTTAATCATAATCTGATTTTAGGATTCCTCAATTTAATCTTATATTCTAACTTTAAAAAAGAAATATCATACATATATTTCCCATACGTGTCTGGCTCCAGACTTTATCTTATGATGCTCTGGTGTGAACACTGGTGTTCATTTTACTCAGGGTGTTGTGTAGACCAGCGGTTTTGTGTAAAGTTAGTAGGTTATTAAGGTAGATTAAGCTAATGACAAAGACCCACTTTGTTATTACAAGTTCTTAAAAGAATTACTCTGCCTTCAATACAGCAAGATACTTTCACCTGTAGGTATGTTTTCCAATCCTGACCTTACTTTTTCCTTCTTTCTTAAACAAAGTAATTATTGTAAAAACCCAAACAAATATTTACATTTGTTTAATCGCCTTTTGAAAATGCATGTCAATAGACTTTGCACGTTTACATTTTTGGGGAGGGGAAATAATGCAGAAAAACCATACCAGAGATCTTCAAAAACCACAGATATGATTGGAACATAAATTATATACCATAAATATTTAACTTCTTGTAATGATTTTTAGAAAGTAATCATGGCTCAGACTGGTTGCTGTAGGACTTCTGTTGAAAGCACTAATGAGGATGTGCAGTGGTTGTTGTCAATGTGTGTGTATGATGATGTTTTAAAAAATAAGTTTCATTTGTCAGTTTTGGTGACTCAGACTTTGTCCACTGACACTTGCATGTTTATGCCTTTAGAAGAGGGTCCACTCAACAGACACCAGCTGCTTTTGCATGTTTATGCCTTTAGAAGAGAGTCCACTCAACAGACACCAGCTGCTTTTTAGACATGATGCAACAGAGGTTTTGAATGCATTAGCTTTCCTCATCGTCTGCTGACATACATCATAAAGTCATGTCGTGTAAAAAACCACAAAAGACTGCCACAAAAAAGAGACAACGTCTGTTCAATGTATTACAAAGCAGAAAAAAAAACACAACATTTGCACCACTGTTTTATTTTTAAAAAATATTTTGATGGAATTGAGACCTCAAGAACAACAAAACATTTCCTTCAAACATGGTTCAGTCTTGATGCTTATATTTTTCCTTGATTCACACAAATGCATCTGCATACATACATTTAAAACGTACATGTACATTTCTTTTGTTTTGAACGGGTACGTAATGATACACGGTGGCCCTTTGTAATATGACAATACACATCCATCATCAGTACAGATTTTAACATTGTGCTATGGGATCTTCGGCCATTGTGCTATGGATCTTTTTTCTTTGACACTGGCATATTTTACATAAAGAAAACGTGTTTAACTATTTGTCTCCTCGAGAGCAAGCAATAACACTGAATAGTTCATTCATGAAGAGGGACAGAAAAAGCACCAGAGGAACTGAAATGAACTTCAGTCAAACGTCGCCTCTTTCTTCTTTTTTTTCCACATGAGTGAGACCCAGTGTCCTGTGCTTCTCTGTGTAGGCAGGCTCTCCCTGCTCCCAGTCCCTGTGTAAAAGCAGTCTCTGGAACAGGACACAGGACAGCTTCAGGATGAGAAAGGTCTGTCAGACACAGCCATTCTCCTGCCTCGGCTTGTGCACCACAATACTCTGTGGAGGGTAGAGGGAAGGAGCCAGTGTGCAGAGGAAACCAGCCAGCAACGTCAGGCCCAGTCCACCCCATGCACAAAACATGGACCAGCCATAGCCGTGACTGATGTCCTCTGGTATTCCAAACATGTATCGAGGATAGCGAGACAGCTCAAAGTTGATACCAGCCACACATGTGCAGAGAGAGATGATGCAGCAGGTCCCTGTCGATAAGGAAGGAAAAACACAGTATCATCATCACCTCTGATCCAGCCTTCCACCAGCTTCGTATAAACAAAGGATTTAGCTCCCCTCTGTGGTGATACAGGGGAGTGCTTTTTATGTAAAATCCGGAACACGTTACCTCCCATGAGGAAGAGAAGTCCAGCAACATACTGCATCAGATCATGCTCCTTGCAGCAGCCCAGAACTCCTATGATCCAGCCGAACAGGATGATGGCTATGGCCATGCCTATGAAGCTCGCAGTCATCCTCTGGAGGTCTGTCAAGAAAGACACAAATCAAAAAGAACGTCTATGCCAAGTTGGTCTCCATCTCCAACTCGTCACATCATTAATGGCCTGTTTTGGGGGAACTCACGCAGTGCGTGCCACTCATCCTGCCTGATTGTCTTGGTCAGATTGACTGGCAGATTTCTAGGCAGCGCTGATGAGGAGTAGTAGTATTTTATTTGCGTGCAACGCGGGACCAATCCTGTGGATGTAAACAACGCAGAGAGGGTGTCACAGATAAGCACTGGGATGACATGATGAGGAGAACACAAAGCTCTTTCTCTGCTAACACCCCCCTTCAGAAACATACACAACCCCGTTCCACTACACACCACATCCACCCACACCACCGGGGGGTGTATTATTATACTCATCAAGGCGCCTCTTAGTAGAGATTGGACCTTTGTGGTGTAAAAAAGAAACACACACAGCCCGTCGATTATAATGTAACTCTACCTCCTCCGTGTCGTTAGACTGCGTGTAGGCCGCGGGGGTCTGTACGCAGCATCAGCACCTTGGATAACGCATTCGTGAACAGTGGGCTATTTACAGTCGGCGCAAAAAATAAAAAATAAAGAAAAGAAAACCCCCATATGTGCACAACAAACACTTTATCACCAATACTATGAGAAAACATTTTTTATTCAAACCTTTGAAGATCAGATCCTCTGTCTCTAAATCAAATCCATCTCGGTGGCACTTTCTCCACAGTCCGGTGATGGTGGAGTTGAACTGCCGACTGCAGAGAGACTCCATGGCGGGCGCAGGAGGCAGAAAGTGCCGTTTGGCCCGCACCAGGGCTTCTCCGCCGACACTGAAGTGCTTCGTCTCCACGTTCTTCTCCTTTGGCAACATGCGAAGCGGAAGGTTGATGTTGGAGATGTAAATGTAGCCCGGGTCGTTCCTTTTGTTGGAATAATTCTTGCAGCGTTCTCGGTGCCTCCTCGCGTCAGTCTCGTACCAGTTGTCAGTGCTGATGGCCACAGCTATCAGCCCTAAAGCACAGAAAGCCAAAAAGAGACCTGCCACGGTTAAAGTCCTCAAAGCAGCCATATCCCATGTGTGTCTCTCCTCGGTGCCGTGATGATTCCACGGGACAACAGGGCTCTGCTCCTGGATGCTGTTGTCAGTATTTGAGGTGGAGATGGATGAGAGCATTACAAAGAAACCTCAAACGCAGATACATTTTTAACGCCTTCATCTCCCTTATTTGGCAACCATTGCTATAAAGAGGCAAATTTCGACGCGTTGAGATAACTACCTCTGAACCCAGGTTGTCTATTTTGGTTGTCTTCTCTGTGCCTCTGAACTCAGTCTAGCCTAGAAACAAGGCAGAATAACATTTCTTTCCCAGTAGATGGAGACAGAGTAAATATTTGACGGTGCACTCCCTCCACTAAGGATCATGTTGTGTATGGAAGGACAGCCAAACTCTGACAGGTCTGGACCGTGTCAGTAAACACAGCTTTTCCTGTTCCAGCAGCTGGAAGTCCTTGTGTAATACTTTAAAAAAAAGAAAGCTATTGAACATATTAAACACCAATACTCGGCTATAGGTTTATATAAAAAGCTTGGTCTGTGACCAGTCAACATGATAGAGAAAAACAGTTTCGAATCACATTTCCACAAAACCAGAAGCGTCAACTCTGTAGTTTGGTATCACTGTACACTTTTTTATGATACAAAAGGACAATAATGTTTTTTGGGGCTTAGATTTTGGATAGGTTTCTATTAAAACTACTTAGCTCTGCCTACAGATTGTTCTTTGCATTAATCTGAAGTGTACCAACTTATGTGGTTAAACCTGGCCCTTTAGTTTTACCTTGTATTTGTATAGAGATTTGACTCTGTTTCTGTGAGATAACTCACAGAGATCCCTAAATGTCTGCCACATTTTCACTGGTTTCATTTACATGGTCAGCACTTCCTCTGTTGAAACATGGTCCCAAACTAAAAGAGGAACAAGCGGTACTTCACTTTTGGTTTCCCCCAATGTGTGCAAACTTTTTGAAAGATTATCAGACACTTATATATTTACACTTGTGTTTGTTGTACCTAGTGTGTGAGATGCTATTTGTCTGCCTACAGAAACTCAACTACAAAGTCTTGCTTCACACTACCATGTTGAATTCTTGGACATAAATTGAAATGATCATCCACAAAGGATTGTAACTGATATTCATTTTATAATAGTTTTGGCTGGAACTGCCTGGTAGAAAAAACACTATCAGAATTTTTTATTGCAATAAAACTAAATTAAAATGTGCAACCTAATTTATTATTGTCCAGCTAAACCTTTGGAAGATGGATGTAAACATGCTTGTGGTTGACATTTCACCCTAAGGAACTAGCTGATGACACAAATTTGGTAAATGTGTGATTTGATATAGGAACACTGACTGCGTAGACTCCGACCTATTCTCGCTTTCAGTTCCCATTTATGTGGTGAAGTCAGTGCACAGCAACATTGTACCCTGTCAGAGAACCCATAGGAAAGAGGGAGCACTAACTGAGAGCTTCAGGATCCAGATTATCAGGGTGCCCTGTTTAAATGATGGACGGCTATGTCATATCATCTGTAAGTAAAACTAATTTCATTTTGTAATCTTTGCAGTACCAATGTCCTTTGTCTCTGTTTATAACAGAGGGCGATTTAATGCAGCTGTAATATGTGTATAGGTGCTAATATGACATTTATAGTACCTTAAAAGTAATACATCTACTGCACTTCTATTTTATGAAAAGACTCAGTTGTCTAATTAGACAAACTACATAATGTTTTTTTTATGACAAATCAAACATTCTATCCTAAGGCCCCTGAGGAAATCATTCCAAATGAGCCAGAGAGTTATCGTCCACCTGCAGAGCTGTACGCGTACCTGACTAATGTGGGTGAGATATATGAAGGTGAGAAAATTGGAGTTAACTGAAACTAAATCATTCGTAACAAAAATGAAAATTAATCACAGCAGTAGTTTGAAGTACTATTCTGTATGTGTCAGACCACAGATGGACATTTCACCCTGAGCGCCTCCACCCTCTGGAGCATGACAGTTCATCAGCAAATCACCTCACAGAGCTTCAGTCTTTGACGCCACAACAACTGATACCACCGTACCGTTTCAGCAGCGAGTGTCTGCCCCTACACCTGGACCCTCCACTCACACCCCTCTCTGTATCCCCACAAGTAAGTTCATCTAAGGAGACAGTAGTAAAAAAACGGATCTCTGCATTTTACAAAGTGTTTGTTTTCTGAACAAAAGCATTGGACACAAAGCAAAGGAAACAAAAGTGGTAAAAGCTGGGAACACACCACACAGCCTTCACACTCGTTACAGTACTTTTGAAAAAACTTGGTAAACAAGCAGACTTTCAGAAGATTTCTGTACAAAAACAAGAAGAATGGTGATTTATCACTTACTATAGCATAAATAGGCATCACACGACTACTAAAGATAACTGAATGTTTGAATTATTTTACCCAAATCAAGCTGCCATCAGATGGTGTAAAGGAATTAGTGACCCAACGGGTATATTTATTTTGTATTTAAAACCACAAATTTCAAACTCAAGGCCCGCTGCATAATTGAACATGTGAATGGGCATCTTAAAATAAAATCTATAACATAGAGAAGGATAGATGCAGTGCTCATATCCCATCCATATGCAAGGTAAGTAATTTAGAATTCAAATGCCCTAATTCCATTTCTACACAGAACATGATGAGTGGATGAGGATGTAGTCGACCTGTCATCCCAGAAGAAAGAGGGACTAGTGAAATTGCCTATTTAATTAGAATCAGTATCAGAAACGTTTTTATTACCAGGTAGGTTTTCACCTACAAGGAATTTGTTGTGGCATACAGTGCAGCAAAAGAAATGTCAACTAATACAGTTTTATAATGAGATGGTTTGAGTTATTGACATATTCTATAACAATTCACATGTTTTGATTAATGTAGAATAATTAATGTTTTTTTATTAGTACTTTAATGAGAAAAATGTTGCAGTTGCAATGTTGTTTCCAGTTAAGTTGTTGTCAGCACTGGGAAGAGCAGTATTAACATCTATTAAAAAGTATAATCATGTCTGTGTTGCTTGGTCCACAATTTAGACTGTGATTTAAATATTGTCCCCTTGAATGATTGACTTTGACACCCCTACTTAAAACTGTCTCAGTCTGTGGAAGTGAGCTGCATTAGCAACTTCAGCTGGTTTGACAAATCATGGTTTTCTGTGATCCCACATCAGGCTAATGGTGAGTTTATGCTTCCCAATTATTCTGTCATCATACAGAAATCTGCAGAAAGTCTGTTAATGTGTACTCTCTTCATTCAACTCTGGGAAGACTAAAAGTTCTGTAGTGTGTTCTAAACTTTATTAGGTATTTTCTCTTTTAAAGATTTGTCTTTATCTCAAACACATTCACAGCCCAACTGGGAATAATTGGCAAAGTCTAGCATGTCTTTCTTCTCTCTGTGTCTTTTCCTGCGAGCCAGCAGTAAACAACAATAAATTATTATGGAAATGTTTGTTCTCCGATGCGCAATTAAAAATATTTTATTTTATTTCATATAATCCTCATTTTTAAGGCCATTTAAGCATGTGTACACTTTGTTTAAACTGCAGTGTAAGAACATGGACTCATCTGACAAAAGAACACATTTTTGGGTCAAATAAATCTGTTGTGTTTCTGCAGAGCTTTATTTATGACTTCCTTGTTTGCATTACACAATTGCAGGAGCATTTTAGATACAGCTTCACAGGTGCTTTTTTCCTCAAATAGTCCAGAGCTCATATGAATATGTTCATCAAAGTGACTCGGAAGTTTGCACTGCATTAACATCTGAGAGATGAAAAGTTTTACACTTTAGCAGCATCATTAGTCTTATCAAAGATGGATTGTATACAATATACAATTTTGGCACAGTACTGCAAATTACTGCATTGGCTTATTTAAGATTTTTCTGACTGTAACTTCTATGGATGATATCATTTTACTGTGTTGCCAGCATCACTTTTTTATTGTCTGTGAAGTGAATTCCCTTTTGTGTAAATATGCATGTTAAACAATGGAGACATATTAGTTACCATGTGGTCATTATCAATCTTTATTCTCTCAGTTATTAAAAATGTATTATTAAATGAATGTACAAATCAAAAACGTTCAGGAAATGGCCGTCAGGGAATTTTCCACTGAAATGTCATATACACCACACAGTCTTGCACAGAATTCTATTTTGACAGATACTTCCTCTTTTTTTTAATAAAATCTCCTGCAATGAATATTTGTAATACAATGGATATTTGTAATACAATGGATATTTGTAATACAAATAATAAAAAAAAAATTCAAGACAGGCCCATCCCCTGATTCCCAATCAGAAAGGTGGATTAGCTTTCTGTATAAAAACTGAAGAAGATAATTAACTGCCAAATCATTTTGAAGACTACCACTGTGGCAACTTCTAATGAAGGGGAAAGCAAAAATTAAATAAAACAAAAACTTGATCTGTATCTTGTGTTTAAATCTGTTTTACAGATCCCTTATTTTGCTCCTTCACTGTGCTACCCGTACCAACCCTCATCCTCCTCACCCGGCCATGACTGCTCAGAGGAAGAACAAAGAGGAATCAGTCCCCCACTAGAGGTATCAGAGGGAGAAGATGAAGGTCATAACCATTCTTCCCTCAGAAAAGACAGCAGTGAGTCTTCTGACAACATTTTCCAAATCAGCCGAATGTAGATGGAACCATTAGAGAGAGAGAAAAAAGTAACCCTTTATTTTGTACCCCAGGCAACAAGAGGAAACTGCGCCTGTATCAGTTCCTCCTGGATTTGCTGAAGAATGGTGACATGAGTGATAGCATCTGGTGGGTGGACCAGGACAAGGGCATCTTCCAGTTCTCAACTAAACACAAAGAAGCTCTTGCTAGCCACTGGGGCATTCAGAAAGGAAACCGCAAGAAAATGACGTATCAAAAAATGGCTCGAGCGCTTAGGAACTATGGTAAAACTGGGGAGATTAAAAAAGTGAAGAAGAAACTCACCTATCAGTTCAGTGAGGAAGTTCTAAGGAACCTCTATTTGCATCAGTATTGCCACTGAATGTTTTTTTTATTATTTTATTTTTAACTATAAATAGAATCACTAAAGTTTAAATCTGCCTGTATATTTAGCAGTGTTTTTACCAAGTTTCCTCACATATTTATTAGAAATGCCGGGGGGCTCCATTGTGGAATTTGCAAACTGAACTAAAGTGGTCACCTTAGTGGATCACCTATCTGCTTGTTTTTTTTCTCTCTAAAGTAACACCAACCATCTTTATCTATCTATGTACGTCTTAAAAGAAATCAACTTTGCAACTCAAAATTTATCCTAACAATACTCAACCTCACACGTCCCTGGTGTGTTCATTTGTAATCTATTCCATCTCTCCCAATTAAACTTAGTGGTTTCTAACCTGGGGTCGGGCCCTTTCTTGATGGCACAGAGCTATTGCAGGAGGCCCAACCACTTTCATTTTTCAGAAAATGTCTGGGAATCATTGCAGTAGCCAAAGAAACACCTGCTATGGCAAATATCATATAAAACTTTTTTTTTTAAACAAACCCTTGTCAACATGTTAAAACAACATGTTGTATGACTTTTGGCAAGAACAAAGAAAATCATCTGTCTTTGCAACTGTTTTATCTTATAATGTACAGTATGTATACACAGCGTTAAAAACATATTCACAACACAATAACTTGTTAGTATGTATAAATAACTAATTGACTCCTTGATCATTTTTTAGAGTTTGAATGACTGTACTACTCCTGAATAGAACAAAGAATAAATACAATCCAATAATTAATTCAGTTAAATGTCAAAAGTGACCATATACCATAGCTGTAAAGCAACTAAACATTTTATGGACTTCGTTGGAATTGCAGACCTCATGCTAAAGATTTCTGTTCTGGATAGTTTAAAAACGGTTGTCTAATGTTGTTTTAAGGTGGCTTTTCGTGCCAGGGCACTGGTTAAAGAAATGTTAGGTATATACATGGTACAGCATAAATAAAAATGAAAAATTTATGTTGTAGTTAAGCATTTTACGGATTTGGTGAAAAAAAATTAAAGAGTGATGACAGTTTCCTTTTTCACGACGGTTAGGACCACCCATATGATGACATCCGGTTACGTTATGTTGTTGGCCAATCAGAGCGCAGACGTTGTTTCCTTGCGAATTTCAAACGCTGTCCACTTCTCAAACGAACCGTCCATTCGTCGGTGGATTGTTTTAGGATTGCTAAGTCGTTGTTGAAACTCGAGTGTTCTTCTGTTTGACAGAGTTGTGTCTCCGCCGTGGTAGCATGAGAGTAAGGTTGGTATTTTACATTTTCACATACGACGTCTTCGGTTATGTACCGTAGGATTGAGGTATAAAATGATAAGAACTGTTTACAGCTGAGTTTCGCTGCTGCTAACAAGAGCTTAAACAAACCATATATTGGCTGGATATTTAATTACATGTCTAGCACTTTTGCATTGTTTCGCTTTGAGTTTCGCCTTAATTTATATTTTAATAATACAAGTCATTAGTGAGTAAATTATCTAAAATTACAGCCTATTTTGGCCTAGAGCACAGCAGAGAAGAGCTACATTCTCATTAGCAGGTTTCGGCATCACGATACTCACTTGGTGACGTCATGTATTGCTGTAGATTTGAACAAGGCATAACAAAATGTCAATATATTGACGTACAATTACATGAAGTAAATGAATCACCTTTTGTGTTTTCCTTTTTCGATTTATAAACTGACAGTCTATCAAACCGCCGTTGGTTTATGTTTTCCATTATACAACCTGGTTTGTCTGACATTAGTCACAATCTTTTTTTTTATAACATACGTTATATGACGTACTTGGAGCACACAGAACATATACAGTACAAGCACAACTATTGTACTACTGTAATTAATAAAGATCTATACAGGTTTAAACTTCAGATATGAATAAAAAGTTTGGCAACAATGCATGGATAATAAGTCAAAATTAAATAATTTGAATTGTAGTTTGACATAGGTTTTATTTGGAACTTTACTGATAATTAAACGTTATTATGTGAGCTAAACCGGAATAATGTGAGGTCCCGCCTGTGCTGTAGAATACAACCTCCCAAGGGAACTGAAACATTAATGGAAGGACAATGAATTGACAATGAATTTTTGTGTGTCACAATTTTTTTGTATAGCACATTAAGTTTAATCAATGATTGATGTTGCACAAAGATCTTTCATTAATAAGGACATTTCTACATATGTGGATGACAACAAAGGTGTTTTTATTCATTTTTGGGATTCTTTTAAAGACCCTTTTCTGACAATTATTAGCAAAGTATGTTACTTTTGATTTTTTTAATCTGAATTTTAACCATAAAGTGTAAGACTTTTTCAGAAAATTATCAGTAAATTAAGTTACTTGTTGTTGCATTGATGAATTGTTTGCGTAAATTACTAGTCTTGGTTTTCCAGTTACCCTGCAGTTCTGATCTATGTAAAATTGCTCTTTGCTCTGCAGTGAGGTCCACGCAGCGGAGTCTGTTGCCTACCTGAACCGAGCGCTGGTCAGGTTGCAGGACATATGGGAGGAAATTGGTATACCAGAGGAGCAGCGCTTACAGAGAACCAACGATGTCCACAAGCACATCAAGGTCAGTCTTACAAAAAAATCAAGCTATGGTCTCATTGGTGGTGTCGCAGAACTTGTATGCACATTGTCTTGTTTTTCTGTCATGCAGGGTTTACTGGACCTTATGATTGCTGAGGAGGAAGACCTGAAGAAGAGATTGGTGAAGAACATAGAGACCAGTCGCAAAGAGCTCAGCCATTTATGTGCAGAACTCCAGCTGCCTCCTTTTGAGGTAGAGTGAAGTTCAAAGAAAATGAAATTATTAGTATTTCCTCTGAAAAACTATTCTTATGGTTGGATTAACTGTGTGATTTTTCTCTAAAGGAAGAGGAGGAGGGCTGCTCTATGTTGCAAATGGAGAAAAACAGCCGCACAAAGCTGGAGGTAATGAAAGAGCACAAGAGGCAAAGACTGGAGGAACTCAAAGGACTCATTGCTAAAGACCGCGACTTGTGTGATATCATGTGTACCACACAATTCTGCATCGACCCCCAGTCTGTGCCGTCAATCAAACAACTGGAGTCATATCATGCCTACCTGGAAGATCTAAGCAAAGAGAAGGTTAATGATAGCTGTCTTTTTTTCTTGAAATGAAGAAATGTGCATGACTAAATCTATACGCCATTATTTTAGGCTCGTCGTCATGATGAATTTGTGAGCATTAAAAAGGACATCATTACGTGCATGAATGACCTGGAGAAGTCCCCGGAGACTAGCTTTGAGACAGATGTGATGTGTGAAGATGAAGAGGCCTTTTGTCTGTCAGATGACAACATCAGTGCTGTAAAAATCCTTCTCAGCCAGGTAATTTTATCACCCTGGCCTTGAGATGTTTAACTCAATGCTATCATTTTTCTCTCTCCAACATCCTGCCCTGCACTGTTTCATTGTTTGTGTCTAATTTCCTTCTAGTTGCAAGAACAAAAGGCTCAAAATGAACTGAAATGTTCAGCACTGCGCACTAAGATACAGGAACTTTGGGAGAGACTTCGGATTCTCCCAGAGGACAGGGAGCCACTCTCGGAGCATATGGTCAATTCAAAGAAAAGAAATATTGAGGCGGTAAGTAAATCCCCTGATGATTTACTCTACCCCATAAGTAAATAATACACTTATGCTTCTTCTACAACAAACATTTATTAATGTATATTTTCTGTGCTTTCAGCTCCAGGCTGAGGTCCAGCGTCTAGAGGTGCTGAAGAAACAGAGCATGAAAAGTGTCATCGCTGCCATCAGAGCTGAGATTGTCCTTTTCTGGCAGAAATGCTTTTACAGCCCAGAGCAGCAGCAGGCCTTTGTTGCCTATCACAGTGGTGGGTGGCTGCTGTTGAAACACAAACAACCTGGTGCTGAACAGCTCAGAAGAACGTTGGTTTTTATGAGATCCATACTTTCCTTCCACAGATGATTTCACGGAGGATCTTCTTAATCTGCATGAGGCTGAAATCAAGACTCTGAAGAAGTACCATGAGGACCACAAGGAACTCTTTGAAGGGGTCACAAAATGGCAGGATAACTGGACCCTGTATTTAGAACTTGATGTGAGTACAGATCCTCAGAGTATTCACAGACCACAGGGCCTCTGAGATTGGTTTAAACAGCTTTATTTTGGTTGTTTCTCTCAGAGAAAAGCAAATGACCCTGCAAGATTCAACAACAGAGGTGGAAACCTGTTGAAAGAAGAGAAGCAGAGAACTGACCTGCAGAAAAGTTTGCCAAAGGTAAGTTCTTAACCCTCTTTATTATCCTTGGGGTCCGTTTGACCCCATTCAATGTTTAACATCTCACAATTCAAAAAGTACACATTCTTTTTGCTAAATCTTTGGTGACTTTTCCTAATTAAGTGAGGGGAACTGGGTAAAATTAAATTTAACATCATAATATTTTTTGATGTCCTGTATGCATATTGTATACATCTGTGTTCTTTGGGGTCGATTTTACATCGTACTGATTTAGCTGTATAAAACATTTAAGAACATATTGCATTATTGTATAATCATTTTTCACATATTCTTTATTTGTTTTAGATCACATTAAGGTCATCATAACACACACTTACTTTAGAGGGCATTCTTATGTTTAGGGCCCTAACCTAACACTGATAATTCTGATGACACAAACAACTGTCAAACAAAGATATGGCTTGTCCAAAATATAAAAAGCTTTTCATTACGTTGTCAATAGAAAAGCACATACTGGACATGACCAACTTAGAGGGGAAGTGTGTATATGGGGACACATGGCAAGACATTGATGACACCCTTTTGAAAGCCTACATTGGTTTACTCATTTTAGCAGTGGTTTATAGGTCAAAGGGTGAGGCAACAGCAAGTCTATTGAAAAACATGATGTTCTGATTCATTCAAGTTCCTAATGTTCTATTGACCTTTTGGGAATAGTTTTACTGTGCTCTACCTACCAAAGTTTATGATGTTACAAGTAAATGTTTAAATGTAAATTTAAAAAAAAAATCTAAATGGTTGAAATTGTGTGTTGTTGTTTTTTCTGGGGTCAATTTGACCCTCAGGGTAAAAGATGCTCTTAGCATTTTTTTTGTTTTAAATGGCAAATCTGTGTTGAGAGATGGTACTGAAGTAGCAACAATATCTTTCTTTCCCGTTTTAGATCAATCAGTGAGATTTTCATATAGTCATAGATTAGGTGAAGAAATTGGGGTTGTGCGGGGCTGTTATATTGGAATGGCTTTTTCATGTTAACAACAAAGAAACCTGAAGTACCTGACACATAAACTTGAGTGATATTTTGAATTATAATCCCTTTTCTTGAGATTTAAATGGCTGGGGTCAAATTGAAATGTTTGAAAATGTAAGGGTTAAAAATCGTACTTTTTTATCTGTATTTCTTCTAATGAAAATGTATTTGGCAAACAGACATGGTCCCAGATAAACTTGTCAGTAACATACAGTATTTTGAAAGTATGTGAATTTTTTTTTTGTATATATAATTTTGTTTTTTTGCTTTTCCTTCAGCTTGAAAAGAGTCTAAAGGCTCAAATTGATGAGTGGGAGCAGGAGCATGGCAAAGAGTTCCAGGTGAATGGACAGAAGTTCCTGGAGTATGTACAGGAGCAGTGGCAGCATCACCATGATGAAAAAGAGAAAGAAAAACTAGAAAGGGTATTTTTGTTTTAAAATTTTATTTACAACAAATGACTTCTGCCCTTGTTACCAGTCCTGTTGGATTACATGAAAATATCTTTTGTGAAATAGCAACTGAAGAAAACCAAACAGACTCAGGAGGACATGTTATATGGAACATCAGTGAGGACACCTTCTAAAAGACGAATGGCAGGGACACCGACCCCTGTAAAGATCAAGAAGGTAGGAAGCTGCTGACCTGAGATCAGGTTCATCGCTGTGTGGTGAGAAGTGAACCATCTTGACTCACACTTTGCTTTTATCCTCTCAGCTGAACGGCACCTCCACTTTTTCCACACCCAGCAGCTTCCTTAGCTCAGGCTTTGGTGGTACCATGTGTCATTCCTCCATCCAAAAACCACCTCTGTCTGCCAGCAAGGTAAACACGTCTGTTTGTGTGTACTTTAGAAATGAAAACCCAGAGAATGTTTTTGACTTATGTAGATAATCTTTATTTCTTTAAATTTTAACTCAAATGTAATCTTTTACTTACACTTGTTCAAATGTTACACTTCAGTAAAATGTGTTCTTGATTGTACTGTTGGTAAACAACAGTATTATTTGTGGTGCTCGTGGACCACAACCCTTAACATGTTACCTAGTACTACTATTGCATCTTTTTTAAAGTAGTCCGTTCCTGTCTGGATCTAAAGTTGGTTTCTTTTATGGCTTCTTTATTTGTAGGGCCTGCGAACACCTTCAAATGCAAAGACTCCCCGGGCACTCGACCGCAACAAGGAAAACATCTCCCATCTCAGAAACACTCCAAGTGGACCACTAAGGTCTCAGGACATTCAAGATCAAACTTTCAACTCAATCGCCAGCTCCTATTCGGAATTTGCGGTAAATTAGTATTTAAATCTGTTCAAAACTGTCCATTAAGTCCTCATAAGTGATGTCTAGCTATGGAAAAGATATATTTCTATGTAAAAGTCTTGATAATATAATTGGTCAATTTTGGGCAACATTTGCAGTGTAACATAATTTGGCATAATTTTAGTTAATTTCTGGAAATAGGAGAATAAAGAAGAGGGAATTCAAGAAAGTTATCTTTTCTTTCAGAGTGTCTTGAATCATTACAGGAATGCTTTGTAGGTTTAAGGATTAGGTTAAAGACTTTTCAGGAATTGCTGGCAAAAAAGCGTGGGGCTTTGGATAGTTTTTTTTTTTTTACAGCGTTAAACATGCACGTCTTTGGTGTCGTGGTCTCGGTGCCAATGTTAGAAACTGCTGATTGTTTGCACCATTGGCCATCAGAGACAAGCAGGTTTAAAAAAGAATTTTGCAACCGTTAAACAGAGACAACAAGTCATTGGCTCATCCAGTGAAGCCCTGGCCAAGTTGTTAACTGTGGTTTATTAAAACAAACCATTTAAATTTCTAATTGGTCTCAATTAGAAATTTAAATGGTTTGTTACTTGTTGTGAACTTTTTCACATCAAGCTATTTCTACCACACCTGTAACTTTTAAGTTACTTGATGTTGTTATATATTTTTTTAACATGGGTAGTAATTTAACTTGTACTTCCTTTGCAGAGAGACCTCACAAAAGCTGCTAAGTCACAGGTGAAGTCAGGACTGCTAAACTCGACAGTCAGTAATCACTGAATGTCCACTGAAACTGCTTAAACACCAGGAGACATCAAGCGTGGTGGCACTCTTCCTTTGGGTGGGTTTCTCTTTACTTTTGGGGTAACAGACAACTTGTAAAGCTTTAGTGAAAATGTAAATATTTTAACGTGTACACGCTACACTCTTATACAGTTTTTCTAAGACTCTACTGCTGGGACAGTCTTCACTGCTGTATGTGTTGTGTTTTGTTTCTGACAGCATAGTGCTTTGTCCTATTTGGCTTCATCATATTAATGTTTAACATAAAAATGCTCACCTGTTTTTTCTTTTTTTAATATTACAATTCCACCATTACTATATCAAATACCCCCATGATTTACCACTCTAGTCTGACCACAGTTGTATTTGTTTCTTAGAATGCAAATTACGATATCTGTTTTTAAATCATCCTGTAAATAAATGTTTTACAGACACATTTAACCTGTGTGTGTCATGAGTTCCTCCAGTGCTCTCTCACGGTGGTTTTCATGGACGAGCAGCACTTCTTTGATGGCGTTCTGGTTGAATCCCATTTCGTTAAACTGAGTCAGTAGCCGTAAGAACTCAGCAGCCTTAAATTAAAATACATTTTTAAAAAATTGGTGAACAAAACATGGGGGTAAAGGTTTTCATTTCTGACTGTGTGTTGTTTACCTTGCTCTCACAGTTCTGAAACATCTCCAGGGCCTCCTCCACTTGAGCTTCATCATATCCCAGTTGACACAGATGGTCACTGGCAGTCAAGTATTTCAGGATCTGGTAATGTTAAATAAAGACATGAATTAGTTGGTTAGTATCCATTCGTATTAAGAATACGTGAGAGCCAAATAATAAAGAAAACATGTCTCCACTCAGCAATCCTTATAAATGCAAGACAAATGCTGGGGTGGAGTAAGCAGGCCCATCATTAGCGTGTTTAATTCTATATTTTAAAAAGTTATTTAAAATTTAAATATAAAACTAAACACATTTGTATGTTGTTTGTTTTGTTAATTTCGTCTGGAGCAAATTATCAAGTGCTAATGGGGGTGTTCGCACAGGTAATGGCCAGTCTTCAGAACAATCCCCCTTGTTTTCACTGTTTTGTCCGTCTGGATTGGGCTCAGACGGCTTGAATAACGGATTAAAATGGTTTACATTTATTTCATTTTGAGTGTTTCATTTAGTCAGTCTCCTCTACCATATCAAAAACATCCACAATGTGGTAGCATTTTACAAAAATGTCAAAAAGTTTGCAACTTACAGTTAGCATATCACAACTCGACTTCAAACACGGCATATCACCTAAAACTGTCCTCCGTTTTGAGCACACGGACAGAATTGGCTAATTCCAATGTTTCAGTCTAATTATCATTTTATAACTGCAGGCGCACCTGTCCACAAGAACGACAGAATCCCTCACGTACACCTAGACCAGAGTGGATGTTAATCCTTCACTGTCATCCAAATGCAGTACACTTGAATTTTGTTTTCAAGAGTATTTTAAATTAATAGTCTATTCGTGTCTCGATAGCAAACCTCAGCTCCTGTTCAGTCTCGCTCTGTGAGAAGACACGCGAGGACATGCAAAATGCTGTCAAAGCTGGCGGACTCAAGTATGTCATACATTTCATTGGCATTTCCATATCTCCCTGTTGTCTGCATCTTCTACTCTGACTCCAACTATCTGCATGTCCTCCCTCACTACATCCATATATCTCCTCTTTGGTCTTCCTCTCTTTCTCCTACCTGGTAGCTCCATCTCTAACATTCTTCTACCAATGTATCCACTGTCCCTCCTCTGCACATGTCCAAACCATCTCAATCTGGCTTCTCTAGCTTTTTCTCCAAACCTTCCTGTCTGTGTTGTCCCTCTAATGACCTCATTCCTGACCCTGTCCATTCTTGTCACTCCTAAAGAGAATCTTAGCATCTTTAACTCTGCCACCTCCAGCTCCTCCTCCTGTCTTCTGCCTATTGCTACTGTCTCTAAACCATACATCATGGCTGGTCTCACCACTGTCCTGTAAACCTTTCCCTTCACCTTAGCTGACACTCTTCTGTCACAGATCACTCCTGACACTTTTCTCCAGCTGTTCCATCCTGCCTGTACTCTATTCTTCACCTCTCTTCCACAGTCTCCGCTGCTCTGAACAGTTGATCCTAAGTACCTAAACTCCTGCACCTTCACCACCTCTGCTCCTTGTAGCCTCACTATTTCACTGTTCTGCCTTTCGTTTACACACATGTACTCTGTCTTGCTGCGACTGACCTTCATTCCTCTTCTTTCTAGTGCAAACCTCCACCTCTCTAGGTTCTCTTCTAGCTGCTGCCTACTCTCACTACAGATCACAATGTCATCTGCAAACATCATAGTCCATGGGGACTCCTGTCTGACCTCATCTGTCAATCTGTCCATCACCACAGCAAACAAGAAGGGGCTCAGGGCCGATCCTTGATGTAGTCCCACCTCCACTTTGAAGTCTTCTGTCCTCCCAACAGCGCACCTCACTACTGTTATACTATTACTCATACATGTCCTGCTCCAAACTAACATACTTCTCTGCCACTCCCAACGTCCTCATACAAAACCACAATTCCTCCCTTGGCACTTTGTCATATGCCTTTTCTAAATCTACAAATACACAATGTAGCTCCTTCTGACCTTCTCTGTACTTCTACATCAGCATCCTCAAGACAAATATTGCATCTGTACTCTTCCTAAGCATGAAATCAACTAGTGTTCACAAATCTCCACTTCCTGCCTCAACCTAGCTACAACTACTCTTTCCCAAATCTTCATTGTATGACTAATCTTTATCCCTCTGTAGTTGTTACAATTTCACCCTGCTTATGAATTGGCACCAGAACACGTTTCCTTCACTCATCAGGCGTCTTGTCTGTCTCTAAAATTCTGTTAAACAACCCAGTCAGGAAATTTACCACCACTTCTCCTAAGCACTTCCATTAGATTTCCTATCTAATTGGTTGGGAGACAATTTAACAAACTACTACATTAACAGTGACCAAAGAGATATTCACTTTACCGTTCATTTCTTATTCTTCTTCTACTTGGAATATGCATTTCTTGGTTAGGGTTAGTGTGTACCTGGTGATTGACAAGCCATGTTTTGGGTGTTTTTTTAAATATTCATATAAAATACTTTATAGACTTTTAAACACAAAATA